CGGAGCTGCCGCCTGCGGCTCCCCGCGGGGAACGGGGGGCTCCCCGGGCCGGGGCTGGCGCGCGCCTCCGAGCGCAAACGGCCGGGGAACTCTGTCGGTGCCTGCCCGCGCGCTTGCCCGCCAGTCTGTGCGTCTGTCTGGGTCTGTGCGAGAGTCTGAGGCTCCCGGGGAAAGCAGCGCCAGCTGGCTCCCCCAGCGCGCCGGAGCCGAGCGCCCGCCTCTCCACCGCACGGTGATTGGCGACCAGCGGCTCCTGGGCCCGTCCGAGCCCCCGGGCTGGTGCAAGGGCGTGGGATTCCCGGCTCCCGCTCCCAGGGAGGGGGCGAAGGGGGAGGGGAGCTTGGGTGAGCTTGAGAGGGAGGGAGGGACCCACCACCGAGAGGGAGCGGAGCGCCCTGGGTCAGGCTTAGAAAACGTAATTTAAGCGCACGAAGGGATGAGCTGAGAAGAGGGGGAGGCTCAGGTAAGTGGCGCGACTTCTTTGCTGCCTGTGCAGACTTTTACAAGTCTTCTGGCCGGCGAGACAGCCAAGGTATGGAGTGTTCGAAACAACTCCCAAGAGCCAGGTGTTGTCCCCTGCTTTATCTCATTTACCTCAGGCCCTACCTCTCCTTGCAAAAGCGGGATTATTAATCCCTTGATAAAAATGAAGAAACGGGCTCAAATGGGTTCAAGATAGCCTAGCCACCCATATATCATCTCATAACTCGCAAATCTGGGGCAGCCTGGAGGGCTGGAACCGTGAGCCTTGTCACTCACTGCTGCATGAAGGAAAGAGACTAGACAAGTGGTGAGCACACACTAGGGTAGACAGATGTCATATTGTAAAGTTGCACACCTGAAATTTATATAATGTATTAACCAATGTTATCCCAATACATTTAATTAAAAAGAACAGAAAAAGAAAACACTCAGCCGGCAGTAGCCTCACCTCTTCTGGATCATTCTCTCCTCCAAGTGACCAAGCTTCCATCCCCTCCAGAATGAACTGTCCCAAGACATACCAATTGTCAGAAATTAGCTGTAACAAACAGGGCTGCCCTCACCATGAAGATACATCCTATTTTCTGGGGGCCAATTCATTTACTCAGTACATTTATTTGATCCCTCCTGTTTGCAGTGATGAACAAAATATATCCTCACAGGCCAGTGGGAAAGACTCTCGTTGGTAACTCAACAGGAACCCAAATGATGACAAACACTCTAAAGGAAAAGCGTAGGCTCCTAAATGAGAAAGAATAAAAGCAGAATTTAATTTAGTTGGAGGGGGGAGAATAAGAATGTGTATGTAAGATGTCTCTCAGAAGCTGACATTTCAAATAAAACCAAAGAGAGAAGATCTTGAAATAGGAAAAGTGCTTGTCATGACAGAAAAGTTACATGCCAGAGGAAGGATAGAAACAGCAGATGGCCAGGTCAACAGGACCTTGTAGGCTGGGATGAAGCATGTAGGAATGAGAGAGAGAGAGAGAGAGAGTATACACATGTGTGTGTCTGTGTGTCTGTGTGTGTGTGCGTGTGTGTGAGACTGTGTGTGTGTGTGTGTGTGTAAGAGAGCGAGACAGTATGAGAGTAGGAGGCAACCTGTCTCCAATAAAAATGATGTGGATCATACGTGAATATGGATTGGAGGTGCTGATGCAGCGGGGAACAGATAGAGAAGCTGTTGCTAGAATCCTGGTGAGCAATGACGGTACCTTGGACCAGGGTGGTAGCAGTGGAGTGGGCATGTACCCTGCTCCAGTCCTCAGAGTACCGAGGTTAAGATGATGTCCATGCACGGCTTAGAACAAGTGACAGCTCAACATGCATAGTCTGTTTCTCTGGATACAGCAATGAAAAAAGTAAGCCCAGGCTGGAGACACAGAGAAAGTGGCATAGCTTCTGCCCAGGGCAAAACTTTTTGTAATAGCCTCACGAGAGAAATTCCAGGCTAAACAAAACACTTGGTTTCCCCCCAAGTAATCTGTTTAAGCTCTTGTGGCCTCTTTTTTATAATCCATAAAATAGAAATAAATGTAATATATCAAAAAGACATCCCAAAGATTAAGTGAATATGTTTTTCTGAATTTTATAAATGGGCTTTAAAAGTGAGAGGATGCCTTGTATTTCTGTTGCTTCATACGTCCTACATCAAACTTCAATGTGCATAAAAATCACCTGTGCTGCTGGTTTAAAATGCAGATTCCTGAGTCATGAACCATGGATATTCTGATTCAGTAGATTCGGTGTAGGCCCCAAATATGCACTTGTAGCAAGCACCTCTGGGTGATTCTGACACATATGACTTCAGTGCTTGGTGATTTTAGTAAAGAACTGGACACAAAAGGAAACTAGACATTAAGGACATGCATTACAAAACAAAACGAAATAAAAAAAAATAGTGCTTGATATCATGTCACCATGCAACAGACTGGATATAAAAGGAGACTGGGATGGACAGCACTGTGAATTATATCGCCAGATAAACACTAAAGGAAACTGGAAGGGTAAATGGTTTGTTCATACTCCCTTGAAAGTAACAATGTCCCTTATTTGCATCTCTCCACTGAGATACACACGCATAAAATCATACCCCTTGGGTCTCTCTCTTTTGAGGCCAGTACTAGAGGCCAGCACGGTCAGGTCTAGAGTCTCGGAGACCCACCTATAGCTCTGCTTTGTGCTAGACTGGCATTTCTCAACCTCAGCACCATTGACATTTGGGGCTGGATCATTCTTTATGGTGGGAGCTGTCCTGTGCATTGTAGAATGTTTAACAGCATCTCTGGCCTCTCCCCACTAGATGCCAGGAGCACCCCCACAATTGTGACAAAATGCTGTGACATTGCCAGATGTTACCCGGGGAGCAAAATCACTCCAGTGAGAACCTGGATGAATATTGTGGATCCCAATTTTATTCTGTGGTATTTTCTCCATCAACCTGGAGCCTCACAGCTTCTCATTCAACTAATCGAATATTTGTTAAGTACTCACCCTTGGAGGGACTGAGACCTCCTCTGGAATCTAATAATTTAAGTGTCCCATCCCTCACTGATTTTGCAGCTCTCCCCCCATATTCCAGTTAACCTTTGCACTCCGTACATTCCAGCCCTCTATGATGTGGTACAGAAACCAAGACCCATTCCTCGTATACTAGTAGATCTGAAGATCAAAACTTCCCATTCCACTCACTTGCAGACAACCAGGTCGAATTTCTTCTGTAGAGCTGCTATACAAACACTGCAAAGCCATAACTTCTGGAATGATTTCATCCCTTTGATATTCCAGGAACTAGCCCTGCAATATGTATAAATTGTCTTTAGATGGTGACAGAGAGTCATGAGCGAATGGTCCAGCCTTTCAGTTATGAATTGCAAAGTAGCACCCGCTTCTGAGTGACTCAGGAACACAAAACTTAGCTGATTTTAAAACTATAAATCTAAGACACTACAAAGAATATCTGAAGTTCACAGTAATCTGTCTCTGTCTGTTCGGGCTGCTGTAACAGAATACCACAGACTGGGTGGCGCATAAACAGAAATTGATTTCTCACAGTTCTGGAGGCTGGAAAGTTGAAGATCAAGGCTCCAGCAGGTACACTGTCTGGGGAGAGCACACTTCCTGGTTCATAGACAGCATTCTTGTCACTGTGTCCTCACAGGGCGGAAGGGGCAAGGGAGCTCTGGAGGTCTCTTTTATCAGGGCACTAATCCCATTCATGAGGACTCAGCCCTAAATACCATCACCTCAGGGATTACAAATTTCAACATATGAATTGGGGGGAGGGGCACAGTCAGTCAGTCTATTTGCATAAACCAATGGGGAAAGAGAAAAAGAAGGAAAAAATCCTGTTTTGCTGTATTCTGTCAAACATAGCCCAGAACCTGGCATACTGCAGGCATTCGGTAAACATTTGTGAGTAGGTAGGAAGGACGGAAGAAGGGAGGGAGGAAATGGTGGGAAATTTTGCGATGGAGAGATCACAGTTTCACTCTTAACTACTAAAAAACATTTATTTCCCCTTTTATCCCTCTAAAATCAATGATAAAGTCTGAGGCATTGGTTTTTCTTCTTTTTAAACTAACATAAGTTTAACTATTTTTTTTTTTTTTTTAATATAATATGCCTTAAGTCAAGTACCTCCTCCTGGCCAGAGCAAGAAACAAATGGCCATCCCTGTTATTTTACTCCCTTTCCTTTGGTCTCTGCTCCATGACAAGTGTCCCTTCCCATGGAAAGGAAGAAACACTGAGCCCCTCTCCCATCACAGCTGACTTTCTGCCCCATAACCAACCCTTGTTTTCCCTTCTCCTTTCCATATAGAGAGCAGAGGGACGCTGTCCTTCCACCGGCGTTTTAGAGCTGCACTGAATAGTTCGATCAGGTTTTTGACAGATTCTTGACAGTTTCCCTTAGGAAGTATTTTCATGTCCAAAGAGAAAGACATCCAAAGCCATGCAAACAAACCTAGCACAGAGTAAAACAGAAACAGAAAATAAGGCTTAACATTACAACACAGTAAAATGAAGGAATGAATGAATGAATGAATGAATAGAAATGCATTAATGTCCTTGAAGCTGTGAGAAGGAAGGGCTGCCTTCTAGCCACACAGTCCTCAAAAACAGTGGGAACAGGGGAAAGAGGTAGAA